GGTGCAGCTCTCTAAACTTGGGAACTGCCTGGCTCTGGGCTTGGTCTGGGATCAGTTTCTCTTCTAACTTTCCTGGACCAGAGCTTATTGATATTCTAGAAGAAAACTGCTTGAGCCTCAGAGTTTGATCTAAGAGGAAGGGCACCCAGAGACTCAGAAAAGTCCCTAGGTGAAGGAAAGCCTTCAGATAGAGAGAGGAGGCAAGTCAAGGCTCCAGACACATCTGTGGAGGTCCCGATGGCCACAGCTCTCCAACTGTGTCTTTGATCACTCTGAGTTGCAGAGGTGCAGCTCCAGACTTCTTGTGACTCATCGCTAAAATGAATGTCTGTTTATTCTGTTTGCTCAGCTGTCTGAGAGAATTCAGCCTGTTTGGAACTTCACCCCTGACTTCAAAGACTGTCTAGAATAAATTGTTCTTCATTTCCTGCCTACTCCAACATGCAAACCATATCAAAGCCATGTGGGCAGCTGACTTTTTTGACAACTCCCACAGTTATCTCTCACTGCCAGGTTCCTTCCTTTCCCATGACAGAGAGTCACCCACAGGCCTTTGTCTGTTGCCTTCCCTGGAGTTGTGATCTCTAAAAGCAGCCTCTGACTGAAATATCTAAGTCCTACATTTTTTGTTTTTGTTGTTGTTTTGTTGTTTTGTTGTGACAAGGTCTCACCATACAGCTCTAATCACCTGGGCCTCACTAAATAGACCAGGCTTGGCATGAAATCACAGAGATCTGTTTGTCTCTGCTTCCAGAGTACACAAGGTTTAAAGGTGTATGTTACCTTGCCCAGTTCTGAGCCCTACTTTTGCCAACTGTTCTAAATGGCTCCTGAGAATCCTGAATGCCAAGCATTCTCTTATCTCATATCTCTTGTTTCCTTGCTTTTTAGCATAGAAGAACAAGTCAATAGCCCTGCAGTCACTTATTCAAGGAACAATGAAATGAATCCTATAAAATGATGCTGTGTGTCAGTGATTCGTCTTTTTCCCCCAGGATCCTATGCTAGTAACATATGAAAATGGAAGCTCCACGTGGTTATTCTTCTGAATATTGTATATCGATTTCCTTGAGCACGAGTATTCAGAAGTCATACTGTGAAATTTTTTCAGGCCTTCTTCTCTAGTCAAACTGTTCATACTTCTGTCCATACTTCTCTAGTCAGACTGTCCATGCTGTAACTACAGCTGCAAAAGTATATGAAGAATTTCTCATGAGCCCTCCACATTGGATGATACAACTAGATGGAGAGCCTGAAAGCAGAGAGTCATGTGTCAGGACAATCTGTGAGAGTAGACTCAGGGCAAAGCCTCTCACAATGGCACACTGAGAGGCTGCTGTCTCAGTCCAGGCAAAGACACAAGAGGGGTTCATGGAAGGAGCCTACAGAGAAATTTTCTGAGGAAGTTAATTGGTGATGTTTTGGGGTTCCCAGAATTCTCTGTTTGTGTTGTCAGTAGTTGATGGCACTATGCCAGGGATGTGGTAGAGATGGCCTGTGAAAAGAGATGACTCAAAATCCCTACCTAAAACCAAATTTATACTCCATACTTGTCCCACCTGATATCTTGCCTGATAACTGAGAGAACATGGAACAGGGTCTCCCTCTGCCTTCATATTTTTGTGGCATTTTAACTGACTTCTATTTCTCATGTGTAAAACAGATGTGACATTCTATGGTTTTCATTCTCAACTCCTTTACTTTACACATATGGCAAAATGCTATTATCCATGAAACCTTTGAGATCATCCAAAGATAGAAAGTTTGCAGAGTACTTAGAAGAATGGTCCCATGGGCTCTGGAAGGAGCCTCTCCTTTGTTGGTGGTATGTGAGGAAATGGAGGGTGAAGGGTTTCTTGGTGGGATCCAGGGAGACAGAATAATCTCTTGGGATGAATGTGGGCTACCAGGGTGTGCTTGGGTCTGAGGACATCTACATGTAAGGGGACCTAAGTGACCAGATTCCATTTGCCTTGAACACTTGGGAGGGAGACATATTAGATACTATGGAGGAAGAATATGACGGCCAGGATACTTGCTCATTTCTCTGGTATGTGGAGCACCTGGTGCTCCATGCGGCCTCTTCTCCTGCACACTAGTGTGTTCTGGTACAACTTTTCAAGTTTCGTCCCTGTTTTTAATGGGTGAAAGCACTTAATCTTGAGGACATTATTCTTTGTTATTCTTCCCGTTTCTCTCCAAGGGTAAACATGAAGGAGCCTAATCATCCTTCAAATCTACCATTTACCTTTTACTTGACAGCAGTTAGGGAATGGGAGGGGGAAGACTCTGGACAGAAGGAGAAAAAGACAGAATAGTTTTCCTACAACCACAGGTCCAAGAAAGAGCAATGAAGAATGACAAGGTTTTGGGTCAGAGCCAGGGTTGGATATAGGAAAGATATTTTCCAGGCTTAGGAGGAGACTCATAGAAAGGCCAGGTTATTCTGGAGGATCAGTTAACAAGGATGGAGAGGACGGGTTGGACAGCAAGTTTTCCTCTCTGTGGGAGGGAGAGGGATCCCCAGGTATCACAAGACTGTCTGTGGTCTACACAAACCTGGCAAGAATAAACAATCTCAAGGGGAAAGTTTGGGAGTCAGCCCTTCACAGGGGTTCTTCTGACAACTGTTATACAATGCTGTCTCAATTGTAGATCTTGCCTTCTAGAAAGGATAACGAGTTAAGGGGATAAATTACACAATAATTCATTAAGTACAAATGTCAAAACAACACATACATTAATATATCAACCACGTGAACATAGATTTGTAATATGTGTAGGGAAATGATATTGGATAGAAAGGTAGCAAAGCACATTGTTTCTCCTCAGAATTAGAGACAGAAAGGTGATTTTCATTTACTGTTTAAAATTTTTGTTCCAAATTTCCTATTACTCTAATTCTGAGAAAAAAAAAATATTTGGAGTTGTGCGAAGAAGCTGTCAAAAACTGGGTTTGGATGGAGCTAGGCCTTCCGTCGACATGTTTAGTCATTGGACACCCATGACATTTTTCTAGGCTGGAACAATGGGGCTTGGTGTTTTTAGGCCCCTCTGGGGATAATGTCTGTGAATTGTGCTGAGTCTCACATGCTCCAAGTGTGAGACCCATGAGAGAGGTCCTCACACCATTAAGGAAATTCTTTCCTACAATGACATGTAAATTCTAGAGCCCTGCCTGTTTCATGGAGCCTTCTAGTCTGTCTCAATGGAATCTGGTAGTAATTGTTGTCTTTGCCAGGCAGAGAAAGCCTGAAGCCTTTCCACTGTCTCACTCACCATCTTTGTGATGATCTTATAGTAAAAAAAAAAAAAAAAAAACATCCAGTGTTTCAACTCCGGGCACCTGAATCTAGACGGTAAATGCAGGGTTGTACTAGAAAGATAGCATCCAGGTGAATCAGACAGCTGTGCACCCTTGTTGCCCTGGTGACAACCCATTCCATCTTTTTACCCCTTGGTCTTCATCAGTAAGACTAGGTCAGTTATTTCTAACCCACAATAAATGTCAGAGAATTCAAAAACATAAGTGAGCAAAATAGAAGAAAATGTCTAAAGCTGAACAAACCATCGTTATGGCTTCCACCTCTTCCTTATCACCCATGTACAAGTTCCTAAGTCCTAACAGCTGCCTTGGAGATTCCATATACCTGTAATAGTTTTTCTTTTCACCTTTTGAATCAGAGACCCATAGAACAGGCAAGCAGGACTCTTAGGCTTACATCCTAACTGTGTGGTGAGGGGTTGCATTCGATGGTACATGGACCAGGTTTTGGGGATGAACCTTCTCAGATAAGTGGGCTCCCCTTTCACTCTCTCCCCATCACAGACAAAAACAGGTCATTTGTGCTGCCTATCAGCTCTGTAATGATGATGATTTGCAAACCAGAAATTTTATTTTGTAAGCTTGGAAGTAGGACTGTCAGTCAGTATGAAAACTTTTGGATCATTCTCTGACGACTCCTATGTTGCCTGTTATGCCATTCATCTTTCTGCCATAGTCCTTATGGTCTGATATGTTCAAGACATAATGTAGACACAGAAGATATGGGGGGGGACTTCAGCACATGAAACCAGCTCTAAAGAGAGGCAAGGAACAAAATGAGCATAAATAAGATAAAGCTAGGTGATCATAAACCAAGTTGAGCACACTGACGGAGAGGTAGAAAGGGTGATCAGAGAGTCTTATTCTTTCATCTGTGTTTTTGTGTGCTTCACTGAGAAGATGGCAGCTAACACCACAATGAGAGCTAACACCACAATGGCAGGAAACTAATATTCCTGGAACTCTCACTAACTTACCTTCCACACACCAATCCAGTCATACCTCCCTTTAAGTGTTAGTCTCTATCCCTATCAGTAGTCTTGTCTTCCTTGGAGAAAAAATAATGAATTAAGCTCATGAAATGTTGAGATCATCTTTTCTTCAATCTCTTGTGTCTTTTTCCCAAGGCTCTTTTACACCCTTGGAGAGAAGCTGAGCAGTCAGACCACAAATGAAGTGTGAAGCTCAGGTCCTCACATTTCTTCACATTCTGCAAGGAAGTGAGAGGGCTTGCTAGATGTCATGCAAAGGCAAGTTAGAAAGACTGTGGTCTCTGAACAGGGTTGATTAAGTCACTCACAAATGCTTTTTTTTTTTTTTTTACCTCAGCTTTATCATATCTGGAAGTCTGCCATGTAAATGCAAAGCTAAGGTATGTTTCACCCAGTTAACAAATCAACAAGAGGCAAGAGATTCTGTTCCAATATGAAGTAGTGTCTTATGAGTAACCTAAAAACAATGACACAAAGTGTCTGTGTAGGCTGAGTTCCAAGTGGTTGGAGGAACATAAATACAGACAGGATGTACCCTCTTCTTGGAACATTATAGAGGAGATTCAGTTGTTTTGACCTTAAATTTATGATTCCCTGATTCTAGTGGAATGCCTGAGGGCAGATGATGGGAATAAATATAGCTGGAACCTCCTAGTGGGACCTTGTCAGAAGGAGATCCAATTATGTTCAAGATGTTTCTGCTGAGTGTATCCATAATTTTCCTCATGGACACAGGTAAGGCCTAGAAAGAGGATTGGGATGGGCTACAAGAGGAACAGGTATTGTACTTGGCTACAGGTACTACTATGTACATAGTAGGCTACAGGCCTACTGTGAAATTATTTAAGGTAAATTTTCCTTCTCTTCACAGGAGAAAGAGTGGTGACAGGAAGATGTACAGTATATTTGGTTTGCATTTCTTGGAAAAATCATATTAATTATGAGGGGAGGAATTCTTGAGCTCTTTACATATACTCCCTCTCCACTCCTCACTCTACTCCAAGCTCTTCTTTCTATAGCTCTGATTTGTGGATGGGTGGGAAATTTTTTTGGAAGGGATCACCATTAATAAAGGTGGGGGAAGAAGGAGTACCAAATTTATTCTCATGGGTTTGTACAAGCTTAGATTTCTAAAGTATTTTCCTTAGATCTAATCTTTAAAACCTCTCTTTCCTTTAGTGATTAAATATTGCAATCTATGTAGTCATCATGATGGATTCAAGTGCCGCACTGGCATGAAAAAATGCTGGAAGTTTGACGTATTTTCAAAAAACAGGACTTGTGCAACAGAAAACTTTTATTTTTATAACCGTATCTCAGGTAAGTGAACACACACACACACACGCAGTCTCCAGTAGTACCCAAAATTTTTGGAGTTAAGGTGCAGAGGGAAGCTTGGATCCTATGGGTTCTAAAGACACTGACCAGGCATGGGTCTGTTTGGTGGAAAATAGGCATCTTTTGTCTGATGATGGCTAGAGGTATATAGATGAGATGCAGCCATGGCCCTGAGATCATGCTAGTCTTCAAAAAACTGACAAGGTTCTGGAGGGAGGCATGGTGATAACATTTGCTTTTCTTCTCTTTAGGGATGTACCTTTATCGCTATTCAAAACTTTCCTGTAAACCTTGTGCAACTGGAATGTATCAGGTATTCCATGACCTCTTGAGAGAAACATTTTGCTGTACTGATAAGAGCTTCTGTAATGATGGCACCGCTAATTCAGATGTCTCAACATTACTTCTCGAGACTCAGAAGGAGGTGGACAAGAAATTGTTGAATGACTGACAATACAATAACAAAAATTTAAATACCTGTCTTTGTAGTCTTGACATTTATAAAACCCAGGCCCCATACTTCACTCTATGCCAGAAAATATTCTAATGCAAACCCAGTGTTTCTAGTATCCATGTTTCAACTAACAAGAAAGAGAGAAGCCACAGGGCACATAAACCTTAATTTTGTCTTCTTGTGAATGTCTTCGTTTGGGCTCCCTGATGCCTCCTGATAGTCTCCACTTATCCTTACATTCTGATATTTAACTGTGCTAAAAAAACAATTGCAAAAAGTGTTTTTTTTTCTGATGGAGATTTTTATGGAGGATCAAGAAAAGCTGGCTGCATGGAATACTTAAATCTAAAAAATATTTTCCAAACACTCGAAGTGTAAGTAAGAGAAGATCTGCCAAATATTATAAATAATAGAATGGAGGTTAGAGTTTAACTTCATGTCATGGGAAATATGGCAGATTCCTCCACTGGGGTTTGTATAATTAGTTTATGTAAATGGAATGTTGGTACCAACAATAAGTTCTCAATATGTAATGATTCCTGGGGAAATTGTTGTGTATACTCATATACCTACAATGATTCCAGGCAAGTAAAAATTACACTGAAAGAGACATAGAGAGAAAGATTCAAACAAGAGAAGAAACAAAAAGTAGATAGGGATGAAGGTAGGTGACAGCAGGAGGAGTAAGAGAGACCCTGAGTGAGACAGAGCAGGAATGGAAGCCACACTCAGCTCAGCTCAAACTTATCAGAGCAGAATCATATTCCCCCACATGGCCTCCAGGTCTGGCCTTCCTGAAGTCTGATCCTGTCTTGCATTTCCAGGGATTCTGACTCTCATGTTGGCCCATGTTAAAATTATTTTCTTCCACTGTTTTTGGCCTAGTTACAAAAAACGTGTTTATAACATCTTACAAACAACAAAAACCAAGTGAGAAATTGAAGAAATGGTCAAGAAGGCCATATTTTAAGGAAATATGGTAGCTCTAGATTGAGGTCTCAAATACCTTTCTTTGCAAAAGATCTCTTGATTAATGATGAACCTGCAGTGAAAAAACTATTGATCACACAGGAGAGACAGATATATTAGAAATTACTCCAGAAAACTGGGTCTTAATTTATAGGAACTGACCTCATAATATCTTGAGACAGAATAAAGATAAATCCACAAATGCCATAATGCAATTTAATGGGGATTTACTGAATATGTCCTTAATGCAAAAAAGGACAAATAGATTATAATGATTTGGTTCATAAAGAAGGGGCATATAGAATGGTCATGACAAAAGTGATTTTATATAAATCTTAAATTTTCTGTGTGTATGTGTAAATTTCTGTCACATTACCAGAACTGATGGCATTACTGTCGGAATCATAAAGCTCTACAAAACACCGATGTCTTCACTTATTTATAAGATGGTGGGAAAATCTCAATGAAAAGACAAATAGAACATTCAGGGACAATCATGGTAGTGACATCTCAAGATGGCTGCAATCATGTCAGAATGAATCATATAGAACTGTAGTCCTGGAGTGTTGTTAACATAAGGAAGAATACAGATTCATTTGGGAAAATAGATATAAGAGCATATAAACCCAATAAAATATGTTTATTTATTGACAAACTCTTTTAAACCCCAATCTCAGACCCCAAAACAATACAGGGTATTTCCGTATCTCTCATGCCACCACTAGAAGTTGATGGCAAAACCTATTGCTGAAGAAACCACACACTTTGGTCATAAAACATGAAGGAATCAAGTTGATGCTCACTTGATAAGCTTCCTTCTTATGACCAGATTTCTTAGGGCTGGAAAGTGCTTTACAGGATGCTGGGAGAGAATAATCACTAACAATTTTACTCAGCTACGAACCCCAAGAGCTACAATAATGACTGGTATGGCAAGATACGCCCACTGGTGCAATAGTTTTAAATGCTATGGTGTAGCCAATCACTTTCTGAGTGCATTTACAACCCACCCTGAAAGGTGGGACACATACCTGGTAACATTACCTGGGCTGTGGTTGGGTAGGTCATCAGCCCTAGTGGAGACTCTACTGCTATTTGATGTTAGTGGACACAGTAATGGGAATAGTAAGGCTGCTGTCTTAATCAAAGAAAGTCTATTCATTTATTCATCTATTTCATGTTTATGTGTGTTTGCCTGACTGTTTACATGCACCACATGCACCAGAAGAGGACATCACACCATCTGAAACTATAGCTACTCGTGCTTGTGAGCTACCATGTGGGTGTTGGGAATGCATTCTTTGTGGTGTGGTGCATTCATAAAACCTGTATAAGACCACCTCATTCAGATCTACTACACGGATGGAGAAGAGACTTACATAGCCATGTCCTCGCTGAGAAAGTGTTGGTAACTGATACCTGCTGGGGAAAGAGTATCAGTTTGCTTCAGGAATGTGGATCTCAGTAGATTGCCTATGCTCTAGTGGATTTCCCTACTACCATGCCCATAGTAACATCAGTAACAGGACTCAGTAGTTTAAAAACAAAATGAATAAATAAAGTTAAGAAGTAGATTCGTGGATGGAGGGGAAGACCATAGAGGAGTTGGAGAGAAAAATCAGGGAGTGGATTCAAGCAAAACATACTGTATACATGTTATAAATCCTAAAAACTAAAAACATGTTTTTAAAGAAGGAAGTGAGGTTCAAGAATGCCTGTACTTTTATGTCAATAAATGTTCTCCAAGGGTTACCTGTATAGAAATTAACAATTTAGATGTTCAGCAATAGTTTGTGTGTTCCAGTTTCATACACCTTTTGTGATGTGGGATATTGCCAGAGTTTCCAAACTTGTGAGCCTGATATGTAGAAAATCAAGCTCAACTCTTGCTGTAGTGTTTGCACCTGTATTATATGAGAATCAATGAACTTTGTGCAGAGTTTTGCATTTCCTTCTTTGGAGTAGTCTCTTCATTCTTTGCCTTTATGTGCATATGTGCTTGAGGGTTGTTTCCTGACTTATAGGAACACTTTATACTGAAGATAACTGAGCCCCCTTGGATATCTTGTTTTTAAGAAGAACAGCTTTTCTAAGTTCTCTATTATTGGAATCTGGCATGTGGTAGAGGTGGTGAGTTGAAGTTGGAGATGGTTATATTTTGGCCAATACAAAGTGCTGCTGAGCCTGGAATACCCAAAGGCCAATGGTGCTGCTTCTAGCTTAGGAGCCTCCTTTCTTTTCATATCATCCAAGACTCTCAGGCTCACCAACTTGTCATAAATTGATGAAATGATTAAAATGTGGTTTTTCATTTTAGTGTATTCAATACTGTTATCATAATGGGATCATATAATTAGATGAATTTTTAAAATATTTGTTTCTTCAATTTCATATAAAACCCATCATGAAGAACTGCATATTACCCATATTACCTCATATTAGGCTACTTATCAAAAGTACTTTCAAGAAAAATCTTTCTTCATGTGTGGACGTATTCCTGGCTTAAAAACAGAGCAATACCTATGTGCTTCTGTAACAAATAGTGACCTGTCTTGACATTATACCACAACATAGACCAAAATGTGCCATAGTAATGAAGAACATTTAGCACAGTTTGAGAGTGAATTCAGTACACATTGCTGGGAATTGGTTGGTGCAGCAGCTCGCCTTTTTTTTTTTTTCTTCACTGGTTAAGCAGAAATGGCAAAACATGGTTACCACCTTTGCACATACTAAAAACTTCAATTATAATATTTAACTGGCATGGATTAATAGAGATAGAGTTTTACTTTAAAAATTCACAAGCTGAACTCCACTTAATTAATTACCCTTTTATTTTATTGAAATGTGTAATTAACTGAAGAAGAGAATGTTCTTGCAAAATTAAGGCATTTCTTTCAATTTAGACTAAATTAGTAATTCACTAACTTAGTCTAAATTAAAATAAATAGCTTAAATATATCTGCATATTATTTTATATTTGTCATGACAATGTTTGTACCTATTTAGTGTACTAGACAAATAAACTATTCTTTCAAACAAACAAATGAACAAGAGAAGTTTCCTAAAGACAAGATGGAAAAGAAGCACCAAGTTAAACCTACATTTAAAAAGTTAGTTATAGGCATAAAATATATTAGTGGTTTAAAACAGTTTAAATGTAAGGAACTATTTTTATATGAGATAGTATTTTAGATGGCAATCTGATATAAAGTAAATGGCTATTTAAAGAAATTAAATAGATTTCCAAAGTGGTTGTACAAGTTTACATTCCTGCCAGCAACAGAGGAGGGTTCCCGTTTCTCCACATCCTCTCCAGCATGTATTGTCACTTGAGTTTTTTATCTTAGCCATTCTGATAGGTGTTAAGGTGAACTCTCAGGGTCATTTTGATTTGCATTTCCCTGATAGCTAGGGATGTTGAACATGTCTTTAAGTGTTTCTCTGCCATTCGTTAGTCCTCTATCAAGAATTCTCTGTTTAGCTCTGTACCCCATTTTTAATTGGATTACTTGATTTGTTGCTGTTTAACTTCTTGAGTTCTTTATATATTCTGGATATTAATCCTCTGTCATATATAGGGTTGATGAAGATTCTTTCCCAATCTGTAGGTTGTTGTTTGGTTCTGAGGACAGTGTCCTTTGCTTTACAGAAGCTTTTCAGTTTCATGAGGTCCCATTTATTGATTGTTGATCTTAGAGCCTGTGCTGTTGGTGATCTGTTCAGGAAGTTGTCTCCTGTTCCAATGAGTTCAAGGGTTTTCCCCACTTTTTCTTCTGACAGGTTTAGTGTATCTGGTTTTATATTTATATTTTATATTTCTGGTTTTATATTTATATATCTGGACTTTAGTTTTGTGCAGGTTGATAAGTATGGATCTATTTGCGTTTTTCTACATGTTGATATCCAGTTAGACTAGCACCATTTGTTGAAGATGCTGTCTTTTTCCATTGTATGGTTTTGGCATCTTTGTAAAAAATCAGGTGTCCATATGTATGTGGGTTTATTTCTGGTCTTCTATTTGATTC